AGCACTGTGTTCTTCATTTATCTTGCAAATAGGCATAATATTACATAACCAAATACTGTAATCTATATTTAAATTCATTTAAAAACTAGAAAAAAAGATATAACACTGCCTTTCTGCATTTTGTATATTTCTATTTTTGTAAACTTCAATTTTCTACCCAATAAATGAATGAAATATTTTTAAAATATATGATGTTCTTAGTAGTCCAAGAGGGACCTGGGGTTCCACTCATGAGTCATCTTCAGAGGTTTGTAAGAGAACCCAACTTTTCAGGATGGTCAAGAATAAGGAAAAGAACTCAGGCTTGAAATGATGACAATTAATGAGAGGTTTAAATTTATATCCCTGAGTTTAGCTCAGAAATTTAATCACCAAACCATCGATTACAGATGTTCTGGTTATAAAGCTCATTCTAATAAACATCTCCATAAGAGGAACATATCTCTCTAAATCAGACCACAGTAAGCTTGAACTAAGATACACCGTTACAAGGCTGCACTGGCTAAACTCAGAGGCACTGCTGCTTTAAGAGTTCAGGTGCACTTCATCAAGAGCTGTCCTGACTCTCGGAAAAGCCAGTTTGACCATTAAAAACATGCTGCAAATTAATATAGCAATACCTCTTCAATCCATCTGCACTAAGCTCTAGCTATAGACTTTCTCCTGGTGAAGTTCTAGTGCTTTTTTAAAACCTCAGTCTCCTTCTTTAGGCTTTTCTGGAATTGCTTCACAGCAGCAGAGTGCTAGCATTACACAGCAAAAAGGAAAACCAGCAAGCTGGTATCAGCGGAGAGCTACAGCTTAGCCCCAGGAAACATGAAATTTCTACGGAGAAAATTTTCAAACTGATTAAGTTCACATCCATAAAGATGGGATATTTTAAGATTTCTGAAGACTTCAAACTAACTTTATAAAGGCAGAAACTGGCAGAAATATAATGTGATATAATATTCAATGAATAAAGTATTTGGTAAGAGAAGTAAGCATACTGTTAGAGGGCTTAATGCCAGAAAAGAGCCGCTACACCAGATGGATTTGTTTTAATTAAAAACAGTAACAACATACACATACTACCCAATTGTTCTGACAAAAAAGATCTTTCTCTCCTGGGGATATTTTTTACATTCTTTCCAACAAATGAAACAAATAAACAAGCCTGGCCTGCTTGTAAACTTTGACATCTGAGACCGAAGCAGAACTAAGTAAGTGGTCTGGTTTTCTTTTCAACTCACAGTCTCCTTTCCAGGAGACTCTGTTCTGGGCCTCTTACATCAACCACCCCTTTAATAACTACCAAAGGAAATTCATAAATAATCATTCATTATAGGTTCTAGAAGTAGATCTCAGGCAACATCATGGGACCCACATCACAGCAGGCTTCTAGGGCCTCATCATAGGCAGATGCAACCTACCAGCTGGGCAATGTGTTTCTCTCCCTCCTTCCTTCCCTCTTTCCCTTCCTTTCTTCCTTCCAGAGATTCTTAGTGCCACTCTCCATTTGTGTGTGTTTGTGTGTGTGTGTCTATAAAATCTTAAAAGAAAAAAGTAAGGAAGTAAAAAAAGAGAGAAAATATGATCCATCTTTATATATCTTCATTTTTGACCCAATAAATGAACCTCTTGTGCAAATATTGTATTTCCATTTTCAATCAAGAGCTGTCCTGACTCTCGGTAAAGCCAGCTTGACCACCGAAAACATGCTACATATTAACATAACAGTGCCTCTCCAATTCATCTGTGCTGAGTGCTAGCTATAGAATTACTCCTGGAGAGACTCTAGCATTTTTTTAAAACCTAAGTCTCCTTCTTCGGGCTTCTCTGGAATTGATTCACCAGCAGCAGACTCTCAAATTCCTTATAGTGGTTTCGTCTTAGCTCAAGTTAACATTCACATTTATCCTAGTGAAGGAATTAGAAATAGAAAAAATGTCCTTCCATTCTCCAAAAGGTAATTCAAAACAGACATTATCTTATGCAACAATTCAGAGATAATTTCATTAAGACTCTTATACCTGAATCATATGTATAACTTCCTTCTTTGGAATAAACCACAAAAGTATTGCCATAACCCAATGCCAGCCCCACAGTGCAGTAAAGTCAGATACCCTTTCTCCTTCATTTTCTCTGTTGCTGGCATGCTACAGTTAAATAGCTATAATGTCACCAAGAGAGGAAATAGGCAAACCATTTCTTTCTATGAAAAATATTAAAGAAGTAAATTTTTGTCAAAATCTCAGGAGAGAAAGGAAAAAAAGAACAGTTACTATAGCCCTTTTAAAAATAATAATAATTTTTTAAAAGACTGTATGGTGGTTTTACCCTTCAAGTCACCTTCAGGACAAATACAGAAAGAGCAAAGTATAAAGTGCAAGGTTGCAGAAAAGTACGGTGGGACTAAAGCCGTAATTTTTAAAACCATTAGCACAGTTTCCCCTTAACAGAGGGGAAAGTCCCTGCATCATCCCTTAAGGCCCAGATTAATCAATAGTTCAGTGTGACATTGCACCTAAGATGTTAAGCTATCAGCACCAGGTTTAGCCTAAGTAATTGGCCATGACTTTGTTTGCAAGCAGCACTTTCCTTTCTGCAACTGGTTGGATGTTTAACAAATTTCTATCTAGTTTAGACACGAGGCAAAACAGGCTGATTGTGAAATTAAGCACACGTTTCCTTGTAAATGTCTCTGCAGAGTCATCTCATTGCCAAGGCCCCGCAGAAAACTCGCAGCTGAAGCCTGTTTGCTACCCATGTGGTATCACTGCAGAGAGCTTTTCCCATGAGCGTGCAGCAAGATGCTGCAGGCAGCTTTATATACCTTAGTAAAAGCAGGCAGCCGCACAGAGCTCAGGGATAAATGCTGCATAGCTAGGATGCAGCAATATCTACATGGCATCCTTCTGAGACCCCATCCTGCTAGCCCACATCTGACAGGCCCATGAAGTTTTCATTTTCATTTACTTTTCCATGGGAAATCAATAAATTGTGTTTTTTTACAATATGTACAAGTTAGTCCTCCACTTTGTGGAATGCCACGCTTAGTGACTTGAGTCTGGGCTGTCTCTGCTTGTGCAGTAAGCAACACTCAGCAGATCAGACTGGCCTCATACCCAGCCCCCTCACCCTCCACCCCCGCAGCCCGCAATGCTGCAGTTTCACATTCCAGAACCCAAAGTAACTCCTTAAACGAGCCCTTTTCGTTTTAAAAACTTGCTTCTGTCTTAAAATGTATGGGCTGGGAGCTTATAAAACCACAAAATCAAAGCCTCAGAAAGGAGGGCGTCTGTGGTTACTTCCTGATTAATACAACTCCGTCACATAATGAAGCAGAGATTAAAGAATATACACCAAAAAAAAAAAAAGGCACACCAGTCCTGCCTCTGCTTCCAAGCACTGGTTTATTCTGGCCCACAGCAAGCATTTCACAACGCCCACTCCTTCCTGCGACCCCCAGCTCGGGCATTATGACTGAAGTCCATCCCTCGCTTTCTCTGGCAGGACTCTGAACTTTTTCACTCTGAATTTTCCCAAACTGTAATCCAAAGTAGAAGGGCATTTTCAGTTTAAAATACACAGCCAAAGGAAACTCTCTGTAGAATATTTGTTTAAATAAACATGCTTAAAGGACAGTGGATCTATTCCAAATCAGTCATCAAAATCTACATTAGGAAATATGTTGCACTTTTAAATGGGGGTGGGGGACCACCTGGTTTATTCAAGCCTGAGATGAGTCTTTCCAGTTACCTTTCAATTAATTTAAAACTAATTCCCTTGCCCTGTCAGTTGTAACAGTACACTTAAGTAGTACCCAGACAGAAAGATGACTATGCATCTTTCAAACTTATCATATGCTCCATCCCCCTGGATGTTTCATCTCGGATTTCCCCTTCCCAATGAACAGTTGACCTTCAAATTTCAGGCCTTATGTCTCCTCCTTTCCTAGCATTCATCATTTGTTGGTAAAGTCAAACTGGGTTTCAAGTCTCTTATTTTCCTTAACTGAGTTTAATGAATTTTAGTTGTTTTCAAAATCTGCAGTCTGTTCATTGTGCCAACTCTGCACTGCAGAGAAGTCTTGGCGTGGGATTTCCAGCTTGTTTTCTACAAACAGTCTCTACAAACAGGTTTAATAGTATTATTCATTGGGGGAGATGAAACAGAAGTGACCCTCCTCTGGGCTCTGCGAACCCAGCAGCATCCCATGGGCTCGCCTGGGCGCTGTCCTTGGTGCTGCCGGATTCTTGGGCGTCGCAGCGCCTTACCTGCTGGAAGCTGCAGATGTCCCCCAACCGTTAAGCAGACTGGAGCGCCACTTCCCACTTTTAACACAAATGACTACCACGGCCTGTCCTCTTTGTCCCCTTTCCGGAGGTTTCAGGCGGGTCATTCCTTAAAAACTCTCTTTCTTTCTTTCTTTCTTTCTTTCTTTCTTTCTTCCTTTCTTTCTTCTGCATAACTCTCAGCTCATCTCTTGCTGCTTTAAGACAAGGAGTAGGGGGAGGAGAGGGAGGACAAGGAAGATAAAGAAGAAAAAAAGAGAGTTGGGGATTAAGGGGTGAAGCACGAGGCTGCAAAGAAAAAAGTCCCAAGGGAAAGGGCTTCAAGGGAAATGCCGGGTGAGAACTCAAAATAATAATAATAATAATAAATAATAAAAGTAGAGGGAGAAGGGCCGCGGGGAAAGGTGGGAGGGGTTTTGTGATAAAGAACAGCAGACCCTAAGGCCAAAAGTAAGGAAGAAAGAGACAAAGAGGTAGGGGGCCAAAGGAAAGCCAGAAGGCTGGAGAAGAGCTACCCAAAGGACCGAGAGTGGCGAGACAAAGAAAGAAGGGCACTTGCTCCAAAGCTGTGAACTGCAAACTGCGGGTGAAAAGCAGAGAAGGGGAATCTACCGGGTGGCAAGTGGTCTGGAACCCAAGGGGACGCTAGGAAAGGGCCAGCCCGGCGACACCCAAGTGTGGGGTCCAGTGTGGCGCGGACCCACGTGGAGCGTGGAGCGGCCGCTGAATCACCGCAGGGCTTGTCTCCCCCTTCCCCCCACCCCCGGCCCGGTGCCCGCAGTCCCCGCCTCCTCGGCCGCCGCCTCCACGGGGCGGGGCCCTGGCCCGGGACCAGCTGCTCCGCTATAAAGGGGCTGCGGCGAGGCCGGCAGAACGCTGTGACAGCCACACACCCTAAGGCCTCCAAGATGAGCTACACGCTGGACTCGCTGGGCAACCCGTCCGCCTACCGGCGGGTCACCGAGACCCGCTCTAGCTTCAGCCGCGTGAGCGGTTCCCCGTCCAGCGGCTTCCGCTCGCAGTCCTGGTCCCGCGGCTCGCCCAGCACCGTGTCCTCCTCCTACAAGCGCAGCGCGCTCGCCCCGCGCCTCGCCTACAGCTCGGCTATGCTGAGCTCGGCCGAGAGCAGCCTCGACTTCAGCCAGTCCTCATCACTGCTCAACGGCGGCTCCGGCGCCGACTACAAGCTGTCCCGCTCCAACGAGAAAGAGCAGCTGCAGGGGCTGAACGACCGCTTCGCCGGCTACATCGAGAAAGTGCACTACTTGGAACAACAGAACAAGGAGATCGAGGCAGAGATCCAGGCGCTGCGGCAGAAGCAGGCCTCGCACGCCCAGCTGGGTGATGCTTACGACCAGGAGATCCGAGAGCTGCGCGCCACCCTCGAGATGGTGAACCACGAGAAGGCTCAAGTGCAGCTGGACTCCGATCACTTGGAGGAAGACATCCACCGGCTCAAGGAGCGCTTTGAGGAGGAGGCGCGGCTGCGGGACGACACCGAGGCTGCCATCCGCGCGCTGCGCAAAGACATCGAGGAGTCGACGATGGTTAAGGTGGAGCTGGACAAGAAGGTGCAGTCGCTGCAGGACGAGGTGGCCTTCCTGAGGAGCAACCACGAAGAGGAGGTGGCCGACCTGCTGGCTCAGATCCAGGCGTCGCACATCACGGTAGAGCGCAAAGACTACCTGAAGACAGACATCTCCACGGCGCTGAAGGAGATCCGCTCCCAGCTCGAATGTCACTCAGACCAGAACATGCACCAGGCCGAAGAGTGGTTCAAATGCCGCTACGCCAAGCTCACCGAGGCGGCCGAGCAGAACAAGGAGGCCATCCGCTCTGCCAAGGAAGAGATCGCCGAGTACCGGCGCCAGCTGCAGTCCAAGAGCATAGAGCTCGAGTCGGTGCGAGGCACTAAGGAATCCCTGGAGCGGCAGCTCAGCGACATCGAGGAGCGCCACAACCACGACCTCAGCAGCTACCAGGTAGGAACCGCGGCTGCGCGGCCGGCCTGCGCCAGCGCCAGCGCCGCGCGCCCCCGACACGACATTCGAGCGCGCGCCCAGAGGCCCTCTTGGTCGCGCTCCCTGGTGGCGGCATTCCAGCGCGCACACGAGCGCCGCAGACACAAGTTTGCCTTAGCCTATGGTCCTTGCTCCGCCCCTCCTCGTTGCCCCACCCACCTGCCGCAACTACTTAGAAATCCCCATTCCCCTCAAAAACTTGCTTTCCCACGGTAGATTCTACTGTAAAAGTAAAAAGGCACATTCTGGTGCTTGAGAAATACATCATTTAATAAGCAGAAGCACAAATAGTCTCTTGTATTCCTGCCTTCTTCCTCGCCCCACCCCGACCCCTCACCCACCCACCCCGCACCTCCACCCCCACCCCTCACCCCCCTACTCCCCACTCTCCACTCTGCCTCCAGACGAGATGGTCTGAGCTCTTAAAGCTGGCTTCAGTCCAGAATTTGGGTGGAGATGGGGGGGGGGGCAAGTCCTCCAGGGACCTTCCTCAGATTTCTCAGTGCTCCCTTGGAGGGGCGTTCTAGGCTTGCCAATCTCCGCATGTGTTGTGCCTGGGAACTCTGGTTGATTTTTGTTGCTTTGCTTTGAATTTTACTGCTATAAAAGAAAAGGGATAGCTAGGAGTGATGTCTGCGAGGCTCATGGAACTGGAGGAGTGGAGGTGGGGAGGGGGGGACGAACTGGGGCGGGGGGGGGGGGCGGGAATAGCAAGTGTCTTGTGAAGGAAGTTTCTAGAGACTCCCTGTACCTTTCAGGACACCATCCAGCAGTTGGAAAATGAGCTTCGGGGAACCAAGTGGGAAATGGCTCGTCATTTGCGAGAATACCAGGATCTCCTTAACGTCAAGATGGCCCTGGACATCGAGATCGCCGCATACAGGTACAGGATCTATGCAGACTTGGTCCAGACAGTACAGGCACTGCAGAGGCTGCTGCGAACAGCCTTCCCCGCTTAGGCCAAAGCAGGCAGGGTGAAACAGGCTCAGAAGCCTGATTCCCCAGCTCAGTTACAAATCGAATTCTGAGTGTTACAGATACAGTTTTATCAATTTTATGCAGCTTTAAAGAGTAACTATAAGGAGAATCGGGGAGGAGGGAGGAGCTGGGGGAGGGGACCAAAGTATATTGTATGAAAAAAGCTCAAAGATGCACAAAAGAATGGTACTTTTGAGTTCCCGGGGGGCATAGCAATAGGTTTAAATTTTTAAGCATCTGTATGTCTGACAATCAGATGAAGTTTTAATTTTTAATATTTCATCTGATGCTTCTCTTTTATGATGCCAAGGACAAACACCAGGTCATTCTTCTCCTGTTTCTCTGTTACAGCTTACTGTTGCCATCCTCTGGTTGAGGATAGATATAGACATGTCAGAATATAGGTGCACTTATTTTAAGTCTATGGATGATATACATGCACTCAATCGGCTATAAGTATAAATTTAATACATATTTATCTACATATGTAAAGTATGATTCCCTCATATCTAGATCTATGCAAGCATGTATGTATAGAAACATATAGAACTAAACATATAGGCAAATATAGGTTTGATCTCTTCGTCCATAAACTGGTTATAGGTCTCCTGAGTAATGCTGTCTTTCTGCTGGCCAAATTCAAAGCATACAGCTCTTGAGGAGGCAATCATTTCCTGTGAGGCTGTTAAAGCAAGAATAAACTGCACTTTCTTTTTAAGGGAACCAAATGACTGTACAAATAGATATTCTGTCACTGAAATCAGAGAACAAATTATAATTTGGTTCACCTATATTCATATAATTCATAACTGAAATTCATCAACATCCTGACTTATGCTCAGTAGTTTTAATTTTTCAATTGAATGTTTTATTTGCTTTAAAAATTCATACAAATCCTGACAATTCAAATGATGAGGGAGGCCACTGTTTGGAGGACAAAGTCTGTTGGCCACTAGGGACCATTTTAGCACATTCGTACTACACCAGTGACGTGCCTGCTGCAGAGCTGGATTTACTGGCTGGGTGTGGTTATCTACTGGGAGTGGCTAGACACTGCAGCAAAGGACTGGCTGGCACTCTGGGAGGATCTGCCACTGGATATGATGAACATGTTGATGAAATGGCAGTAGGCACTGCACTGGTAGAAAGAATGTTTCCTTATGTGGTTCTGTTCATTCAAAAGTGCCCACTACATTAAGTTTGTGGTGATGAAGATTAGAAGACCAGATAAGTCTTTATTGCTGCCTCATCCTCTTTGGTTCTCTCCTTAGGAAACTCCTGGAGGGTGAAGAGACCAGATTTAGCACATTTTCAGGAAGCATCACCGGGCCTCTGTACACACACCGACAGCCCTCAGTCACAATATCCAGTAAGATTCAGAAGACCAAAGTTGAAGCCCCCAAGCTCAAGGTCCAACACAAATTTGTGGAGGAGATCATTGAAGAAACTAAAGTAGAAGATGAGAAGTCAGAAATGGAAGACACCCTCACAGCCATCGCAGAGGAGTTGGCAGCCTCTGCCAAAGAGGAGAAAGAAGAGGCAGAGGAAAAGGAAGAGGAACCAGAAGCTGGAAAGTCTCCCGTGAAGTCTCCTGAGGCTAAGGAAGAGGAAGAGGAAGGGGAAAAGGAAGAAGAAGAGGAAGGCCAGGAGGAAGAAGAGGAGGAAGATGAAGGTGTCAAGTCAGACCAGGCAGAAGAGGGGGGATCTGAGAAGGAAGGCTCTAGTGAAAAAGATGAAGGTGAGCAGGAGGAAGAAGAAGGAGAAACTGAGGCAGAAGGTGAGGGAGAAGAAGCAGAAGCTAAGGAGGAAAAGAAAACTGAGAGAAAGGTCGAGGAAGTGGCTGTCAAGGAGGAAATCAAGGTCGAGAAGCCCGAGAAAGCCAAGTCCCCTGTGCCAAAATCACCTGTGGAAGAAGCAAAGCCAAAGCCAGAAGCCAAGGTCGAGAAGGTTGAGCAGAAGGAGGAAGAGAAAGTTGAGAAGAAGGAAGTCACCAAGGAATCACCCAAGGAATCACCCAAGGAAGAGAAGGTGGAGAAAAAGGAGGAGACACCAAAAGATGTTCCAGATAAAAAGAAGGCTGAGTCCCCGGTGAAAGAGAAGGCTGTGGAGGAAGTGATCACCATCACCAAGTCGGTAAAGGTGAGCCTGGAGAAAGACACCAAAGAGGAGAAGCCTCAGCAGCAGGAGAAGGTGAAGGAGAAGGCAGAGGAGGAGGGGGGCAGTGAGGAGGAAGGGGGTGACCGAAGCCCACAGGAATCCAAGAAGGAAGACATAGCTATCAATGGGGAAGTGGAAGGAAAAGAGGAGGAGGAGCAGGAAACTCAGGAGAAGGGCAGTGGGCGGGAGGAAGAGAAAGGGGTGGTCACTAATGGCTTAGACGTGAGCCCCTCGGAGGAAAAGAAAGGAGAGGATAGAAGCGATGACAAAGTGGTGGTGACCACAAAGGTAGAAAAAATCACCAGTGAGGGGGGCGATGGTGCTACCAAATACATCACCAAATCTGTAACCGTCACTCAAAAGGTCGAAGAGCATGAGGAGACCTTTGAGGAGAAGCTGGTGTCAACTAAAAAGGTAGAAAAGGTCACTTCACACGCTATAGTCAAGGAAGTCACCCAGGGTGACTAAGATCGGAGTCCATTGCAAAAGGTTAAGCCATATGACAATTTCAAAATGCATGTGATTGACAGCTTCAAAACAGAATGGGTTCTCCCATGGGGGCTCCAGACATTGTATTTTCCTTTGTGCAATATGAGGGAACTGCATGCAAGCTCAGGGTGCCCCCCTCCTCAGTCCTTAGGGGAATTCAAATGCATGATCGTGTATGTACCTAGGGAATTCGCCAGTTTCCTAAGCTGTTGGAAGAGGGGCACTGGGGGGATGTCTTGAGATGTATTATGCAAAGTACCAACTGAGCCAAAAATAATAAGTGAAACAGAACTCTCTTAGCCTTAAGAAAGCTATATATGAATACTTATGTTTACCTCACTGGTGCATTTAAAATGGACTTCTGTTCATGGGAGAACCTTGCTGACCTGCACAGTTCGCAACCTTATGTTGATCGATGTAAAACGTCACAGCAGTCCTTGCTCAATAAAGGTCATACTGGAAACATAAGCCAAATGTGTGGTGGTGTGTTATTTCACAGTGACGTACCTGCTGCAGAGAGCTAGCTGCCTTTCTCTGGAGCACATTGTCTCTGGGAATTGTTAGTGACCTACCCATCTCAGTTCTCTGAGAGAATCTCATTGGAAAACATTGCATAAGACATTTTCATGTGCTGACACATGTACTTATGTGGGGCTGTAGTGCCTGCACGTGTGTGTGGGGCCCGTTGGGCAGAGTCGTGGATCCCTCGTGTCTGCCGCCCTAGGTGACTAGAACGGCGGCTCCAAGGAGCAAAAGCACAGGAATTTGACTGAGTTCACTCCACGCAGCGCCAGGCAGATGCTGGGCTATGAGAAGCAGAGCCCGGGTGTGGAGAGGTCTCAGCCTGAAGTCCCACAGGGGCTGAGCTCCTGGGTTGGGGGTCTCTAGGCTGAAGTGGCTAGATGGAGATGGACTGGTCTCTATCTTTGGGCTCCCAGATGCCACTGGGAGGCACAGAAGAACTGAGATGGAGGGCATACGGGCTGGACAGACCCGCAGCCGAAAGGGGTGAGAGGGAGAAGCTCTGGCAGAGACTCTTGGTCACTGCAACTCACTTGGCTGGGTCATGGCTGGCTCGGCTAGCTTGCTGGACTTGGCAGGCCTCTGTGGCTGGAACACAGAGAGGTCCTCCATGGGAGATTAGACAGCAGCTCGGGCCCCCTCCACGGTTCTCCATGACAGGCCCCAAAGACATGAGGAAGTCCATGGTTTTAAAAGGTTTATTGTCATGGCAGAAAGTGGATGTAGCTGTACCCTGTGTCCTCAGGGTGGGCCTTTGGTTAAGTACCATTTGTAAGGAGGAGAGTCTGGGAAGGAACGCTTAATTGGCTATGCCCTCTGGCCTTTAGGGACCTCATTAATATGGAGATCTCTTGAGGCTCTGAGGCCTGTAGTCATGCTCTCTATCTGTGCTTCCTGTGCTACATAACCTAAGGCCATAAACCTTTCTTTGGGAGAAGCTGTGGATAAGTGGAAGGAACCAGGACCCAGGAGCAAGGCTGAACACCTACGTCCCATTAGGATATTATCTGGGTTTCGAGGTCTGTACTCGACCAGGCACTCATCTGCCTCTCACAGCCCACTGTCCCACATACTTAGCCCAAGCTTCACTCCAAAACTTTAAGACTATAGTTCTGAAATAAAAGTGAAAGCATCATGGGTAAATGAAAGGAGATTTGGTGAGAAAAGTCTTCAATCTCTAGACGGCTCCACCCTGAGGACCATAGTAAAACTCATGGTAAGGAGGGTGACAATGAAACCATAGCAAGTACCATGGAGTCACAACTAGGGAAGGAATGTATGTGTGTCTAGACAATGTGGGGTTTAAATAGTCAAGAAATATCCACTCTGGTTAGCAGTCATTTCCAACACTTATTCTTAATTTGGTTGAAAAGGATTTATACTGTTGGATTTTATTAGTTGGGGAAATAATACCAAAAATAAATAAAATACTCTTATTGGATTTATTTTTTTAAAAAAATGAGTCTTTGATTTAGGTAATAAACAGTTTTAGGTGAAAATCCCTGGTCTGGACTAAAGGAAAATAATATTATTTCCTTCCCAAAGTCATTTGCCTTAGACTTTTACACCCATGTATAAATTAATAGCATATTATTTTTTCCAAGTCTTTATTTTTTCCTGTTAATGAGACCAGCCTAAGGATAGTCTCCTTTGATGTTCTAATTAATGTTCTTCAAGATACTCCAATCTAAAACACTGTGTGTACCCAGGGAAGCTTACAGTTCATGGCAGGTTTATAGTGGTCTTTCCCCTACCATTACCCAAACCTCAGTTTTTACAAAGTCTGTATACCACCTACCCATTTATTTATTTATATCTTTTCTTTAAAATAACTCTTGGTTTATGTTAGAACACTCATTTTTTCCAGATGCAATATCCATAACACTCAACATAAAATAGGGTTATTTAAATATAACCATTCCAAATCCCAACTCTATGTGGAATTTAAAACTAAAATGAGTATACTGGAGGGATCCCGGGTAAGACCTGGAGAAAAATCAACTGATGAAGCCGGTGTTGGGAAAGGGCCTGGGGTAGAGGTCACAGACAGCGCAAGGCTGACTCAGCCCAGAACTATGCTGCTTTGATGAAAGTTCCAGAAAACAGCATCATGTTTGCCTCCCACCTCGACCAATAACAGAAGAGGCAGCTTGACTGTCAGTCTAATCAGAAGTGACTCCAGTCACTTGCAACAGTGGGGGTGGGGTAGCTCCCCCAAGGCCTGAGACCAATCAGAAAGAAGAAGGAAGTGTCCCACCAGCCCTGACTTCTTCCAACCATCTCATTTGCTTTCCTAGGAACACTTAAAGACAGAATCACTATTTTGACCTTCTCAGAGAGAGTAAAACCTGTTTTTTTTTTTTTTTGATAATCCACCTAAACACTTCTAAATCAGTAAACAGCTTTACCTATAAGAAGTAAGAATAGAGTCTAGCTCTATATGATCCAATCCATATAAACTTTAGGTAGCTACTGAATAAGTAAATATTATTATAAAAATACTCTTTTCTGTTCCTAAAACAATCTCATCAAATAAAAGTACAAATGGAGGAAAAATGAGTACAAAAACTTTTTTAAATTTTTTGTATTTTTTCCAGCATGTACTATTTAAAAGTGGCATCAGTCAGCTGAACACTCTCTTCCCCTCCCATCTCTCTCTCTGTCTCTTTCTGTCTCTCTCTGTCTCTGTCTGTCTCTCTCTCTCTCTGTCTCTCTCTGTCTCTCTCTGTCTCTCTCTCTCTCTCTCTCTCTCTCTCTCTCTCTCTCTGTCTGTGTCTGTGTGTGTGTGTGTGTGTGTGTGTGTGTGTGTGTGTGTGTGTATCTGAGGCTGGAACTGTGTACTTAACCCCAGCTCTGTCTCCATCTACCTCACCCTCTTTCTTGGTAATACTTCCACATATGGTAAAAGACAGAATCACTCCCTTGACCTCTTCACAAATAGTAAAGTAACATTCCTTTGATAATCCATACCAACATTTCTAAATCAATAAATGGCCTTGCTGACTCATCAAGTAAGCAGAATGATTATTAAGGACCCCTGGAGACACTGTGCTTCATTCACCCCTGGAATTACAGAGTCTATTGTGAACGATAAACATTGCACTTTAATTTAAAACAAAACAATCTGAAAGTCATGCATCCAAATACATTCAGTGACAGTGAGACAGTGTATCCACACCTCCAAGAGTTCAGGAAGCTAGAGTTCAGGAAACATCTCTACAGTCTGCAGTCTGTCTCTGGTACAGGGACATTAAGCTATTGAAAAGGAGAGTTGTTGCCTGGCCAATAGATTGCCTTTGAGACGCTGTTCATTTTATATACTCTGAGAAATATCAAAGCTAGTTAGTTCTCAATTTTCTTAATTGAAAAAAAAAAACTAAAAGAAGTTTCTTGTAAACCTTTCCCAAGTCAGAGTTAGATCACTGAGCTCAGAGTTAACCGTGAGTCCAGCTCCAGAATGCACAGCGAGAGCCCCTACAACATACCACCTCTCTGATTCACCTATGTGGACAACTCTTATCATAAGGATGCCCATCTAATTCCTGTTTCCTTTCAGAGAAGCCATGCTATCAGTCTTTCATTTAACATCCCTATCTCTAGGGCATCACTTACATCATCAAGTACAAAAAATGCACAGTGATTCTTCCATTTCCAACATCCCTCCCTCTTTAGAAGTGCAGAAGTTTGACAACAGCGTTGGATTCGAGTTCAAATGCCCTCAGAGACAGCATAATTATGTGCCTTGGAGGTCATTATTATCCTGTGAGTTTCCCCTTCTGTACCTGCAGACTGCAAAAGCTGAGGTCCTCCACTGACATCTATGTGATTCTACCACTCAGCTGCAGTGTACATAGATTTGACAAGTGCTTTTCTCCTAGTAAACTTGCATGCTCGATTTTTTAAAAGGGAGTTATTTCTGGTGTGTTTTAGTCTACTGCCAGTCAATACACAGACAGTACTAAAACATTAGGATAGCCGTTTCCACAACAAATAGGCTGCTAGTTCCAGTTTGGAACAAGTTCTTTTCTCTGGTGGCTTATACAACTTGCCCAAAAGAAAGCAGAAGTTATTTTTAGGTGAGTTATTTTATTAAGACTACACAATATTCCGCCATTTCCAAGATCCCTCTCTCTCTTTAGAAGTGCCAAGGTTTGACAGCATCATTGGATTGGAGTTAAATGCTGTCAGGGACAGCACAGTTGTGAATCTTGGGGTCACTGTTATCCTGTAAGCTTCCCTTTCTGCCTGCAGACTATGGAGTCTGAGGTTCTCCACTAGCATCTATGACAGTTCCGAGACTTTTGAGATCTCAAAGCCAGTGAGTGCTTGCTTTGCCAACCTGACAGCCTGAGTTTCATCCCTGGATGGAACAATATCAACTCCAAAATACTATTATCAAACCTCAGCACAAGCACCCTGGCCCTGTGCTTGCCCATGCTCACACATATTGTACACACACACACACACACAAATGATGATGATGACGACGATGATGGTGATGATGAAAACATACAATTCCCAGCACTATAGCAGGCACAACTATTTGTTCATATTCAATATTAAAATGGACCAAAGCAACAGATGAATGATTCATTTACTTTGAAGACAAGAAACTAATCACTACATTAATTTGCATATGTGACTTCAATGCAAATTAAATCATATTAATAATTATATGATATGTGTTCGAATGCACATATAATTTCCAACGTCAAAGTGTGTGTGTGTGTGTGTGTGTGTGTGTCTGTGTGTGTCTGTGTGTGTCTGTGTTGGGTTGTGTGGTACATGCATGTGACCTTGTGGGTGCACACATGTAGTCACATGCAAAGGCCAGAGAAAGACTTCTGGTGTCTACTCTATCATTCCCATCTCATTGCCTTGAGGCCTGAAGGTAGTATAGTAATTATATCAGGAATAGATGATTTTCTACACATCAAATCTATAAA